GAATGCCCGCAGGGCTGACAGGCCCAGATGCTGCAGTACCTGTGGAGGGGGCGGGTCCAGCCTCACTGCTCCAGTAGACAGGTCCAGATACTCCAGCAGTGGGGCTGAGGGGACTGGGTACTGCCATCTTGTGGCTACAGGGGCCGTCATTTTTGTTGTGGAATGACAGTTAATTTGCATATTACCCTTTTATTAGATAGAATTGCTTAAGAACAAGTTTAATGTACTTTGCCAGCCAAATATTCCTTGGTGTACTCCAGTTTCCCGAGGTGCTTTGTGAGTGAGCAGCTCCGGAAGCGCACTCTGCAGAGCTGGTACTGCATGGCTCCTACTGGTCACAAGCGTGGCGAGTGTGCAGCCCTTAGCAAGGCCATGTGCTGGGTCCCTGAACAGACGCAGCATCCTTAAGACGGTGTGTCTGCTCAGCTCAGGTGCTCCTTCCTGAGGCCTGCCCAGCTCACTCCACAGCAACCCGCTCCTTCACTGCTGGGAAGAGTCTGAGACTTTGTATGGCTTTTGGTGATGTGAATGTCTCATTCAAATTTTTACACTGTTGCTCTTTTGTGGGTTGTGCTATCTAGAAGCTTCCAGTGTTTCTCGCTTTGCTTTCTTCCCAGAACTTGACAAAGAGATTATTTTAAAATATAGACCCGGTGCACTAAATTTGTGCACAGGGAGGGAGAGTCTCCTCAGCCTAGCCTGCACCCTTTCCAATCTGGGACCCCTTGGGGGATGTCCGACTCACAATACTGGACCACTGGCTCCTAATCGCTCATCTGTCTGCCTGCCTGATGGCCCATAACTGCCCACTCAGGTCTGATTGCCCCCCACTGCCTCTGTGTGCCAGCCTAATTGCCCCCAACTGTCCCTTTACCAGCCTGGTCACCCCTAACTGCCACCCCTACTGGCCAGGTCCTCCCAAACTGTGCCTTCCCCCCCCCCCTGCCTGCTGGCCTGGTCACCCCCAACTGCCCCCTCCTCCCGCCAGCCTGGTTGCCTCATGCAGCCTGCTGTTTAGACATTTGCTGTCCCTCACTAAGCTCCCTGGTTGTAGGCAGCCATCTTGTAAGGGTGTGAGGGTCAATATACATATTACCTCTTTATTATACAGGATAAGAAGATATGAATTAACTGCATTGTCTTTAAACATAGTTCCTTATTTTTTAAGCTCATTTAATTTAAAAAATATATCAGAGAGAAATTAAAATAAATTCACTCCAAGAGAGGAATATTTAATTGTGCATTTTGTACAGGAGACCTCTAATCATGGTCCCTTCCCATAAGTGAATTTCTATTGCAATGAAAATAAAATCCGTGTTGAAGCAGCCGTTCTCAACAGACTTCAGTGCCAGTGGTCAGTGCAGGGCAGTCTGATGCTGTGAACACTGTAAGCAGGCAGTACGAGGAACAAATTGGGCCAGGGTAGGTGAGCCCAGCTGAGGGCGAACACGGCCCAGCCTGGTCCTGACGGCCTGGCGGGGAGCACGGCTTTTAAAGTATTTTTAAGTGGCTAAACAAGTTCTATAACGATATGTTGTGACCCAGAAAACTGCATTCTAGTTCCAAGCCCACAAATAGCGTTCCGCTGGTGCACAGCCAGGCTCCAGCTCTGCCCTGCCTCTGCCTCTCAGCAGCAGAGCCGCATGCAGGTGGACTTCCTGCGCCTGCAGAGGAAAGAGGGGGGACTTCCTGCGCCTGCAGAAGAAAGAGGGGGGACTTCCTGCGCCTGCAGAGGAAAGGGGGAGACTTCCTGCGCCTGCAGAGGAAAGGGGGGGGACTTCCGGCACCTGCAGAGGAAAGAGGGGGGACTTCCGGCGCCTGCAGAGGAAAGGGGGGGACTTCCTGCGCCTGCAGAGGAAAGAGGGGGGACTTCCGGCGCCTGCAGAGGAAAGAGGGGGGACTTCCGGCGCCTGCAGAGGAAAGGGGGGGACTTCCGGCGCCTGCAGAGGAAAGGGGGGCCCACTGAGCGCAGAGGGCCTGCAGGCTCCCAGTCAGCGGTTCGGGAAGACACTTTAGTCGGTTCCCCCATAACGGACACATTTCCGGGAGTATTCGCTGGGATGTGACGGGAAAGCAGTTCTGTGCTCCCCTTCTGTGTGTTCCCCTCGACAGCCTTCCCGGAAATGCCAGGGGAGAGAGGACAGAGCGCACGCCCGTTGGAAACGCTGGTGGTTTGTTCTGTGAACCGTTAAGTGTAAGAGCTTTCTGGCTTTCTGAGTAATCATCTCACCGACAAGTGTGATGCTTGTCCTTCCTACGAGTGTGGACACCCACGCTCAACGACTCAGTGCCGCGGAGCGTGTGGGAAAGCTCAGCGTCTACCCGCTGCCCACAGCCCTGCAGCTCCGGGAGCCTCCCCTCACCCTCCTCGCCGGTGGGCAGCGGCAGGTTCAAGCCCGGTCCTCTACCAAGGCCGACGGGCTAAGCCTCCCTACAAGAGAGAGCAGCACTTTGAAAACACAACCCTGGTTTCTTAAGTAAACGTTTCTTCCTCTCCTTGCTGTTACCCGCTCTGCTCCTCACCCCTCCCGCCTCCTCCAGCCCTTCCTCCTGGCCCTGGGTCTCCACCTGTGTTTAGGCTGCTGGCCTGCCCTCCCAGTGGTTGGCCCCGTCCTCCCCCAGCTGGCCCCGCCCCTCCAGGTGAGCCTGCCGCTGGGTCCTGGCCAGGATCAGTGATGCACCTGAGCGTGGCAGGTGTTGGCCTGTGCTGGCCTGTGCCGTCTCTGCTCCTTCCTTCCCTCCTCTGGGTTCCCACCTCCGTCCTGGAACCAGGACCTCCTTCCAGCACAGGGATAGACAGCACCCCGCATGGGAGCACGGGGTCCTGGGCTGCGTGCAGGGAAAGGAAAAGAGGGGAAGAGGGGAAGGAGGACCTGCGAGAACAGGCTCCCCCTCCCAGGTTGCCTGCAGAGCCCTGCTCCTGAGTCTGTTTCTTTGGCGCTGTGTCCTCTTGCTCTTGCGTGCACAGGAGGGAGAACCAGCACTGGGGGCGTCTGTGCCACTGCAGCTCCCGGCTCAGTGTCCTCACGGCTCTTTCTGTGGTGGGTGCATGGGTCCCCAGGTCACAGATGAGCAAACTGGCCTCAGTCTGATGGTAACTTCCCACAGCCACAAGCAGAGCCTGGAGGAGCTGGATCACAGCCGGGCCGTCATCTGGGCAGCCGGCAAGGCCCCAGCACGTAGGTGCAGCCTTCAGGTCTGCGTCTCAGAAAGGAGCTGAATGCCTATGACCCTGGGAGGCCAGGAGCATGTCCCACTGCACAGGGAGGGCTGCTGCAGGGCCAGCCCGCCGAGGACAGGGTCAGGGCTGTGGGGTCAGGGACTCCTGCAGCTTCCCTTAAGAGAGGTCAACAGGCCAGAGGTCATGGGGGAAGCCCTACGGAACCAGGTGAATGTGTATGTTCCCCAGCAATTACCAAAGTCTGCTGTAATGTGAATAACAAAATCATCCAAACTGGAGGGATGGTTTGAATACCAAATAAATGTTAACTTAATTATTTAGAGATTAGTTATTTGCATCTCTTCAAATTATGGTGATTTTCCTGGTTCACAAACTATTGCATGCTCTTAGAGTACCACTATGGCTTCCAAGAGTTTACTTACTAAAACTCTGTGGCTGTAAGTGTTCAAGAACTCACTCCGTTACTTCCATGTTATCTTCTGATCACTGAGGTCATTCCCACGTGCTGCGCTGGCTCCACCATGCGGACAGCCTCAGGACGCCGCTGCCTGCAGACAGGAGTCCTCACGGGCCCTCAGGGACCCTGCCGCGCAGTCACTCCCCAGGCCCGCATGCCTGTGTAGCCTGTCCCCTCGCCCCTCCTGCGCCCCCGCATCACAGCCCCACCGTGGCCCCTGCTTAGCAGACAGTGTCTCTCCCACATGTCACTCCCTGACGCCTGGTCCCTCTCCTGGAGGTCAGCACCCTCCCACCAGGTGCCGACTCCGGTGCTCCCCAGCCCTCCTCTCTGCTCAGGGCCACAGCTGCTCCGTGGTAGAGCAAGTCTCACACACCCGCTCGGTGAGACCAGAGACCATGCCAGGTCACATCCCTCCCACAGCGGCTGCCCACCTCCTGTGATGGCTGACGGGGTTGTCTCTGAAGGAAACACAGTCCCCATCTGGGTGACGGAGCCTGGAGCTGAGCACGGGCCAGGGGTGGAGGGGTCCTGACCCTCCTTCGTGCAGCGTGACAGGGCGTCCGAAAGCCGGCGTGCGGCCTCCACACGTGGGCCTCTTGGACTCCGTTCCACCTAAACATAAACAGGGTCGACGAGGTTGCATCAGAATGTGCTGGAATCAGGATGTTGTCCCAGATGCGAAACTGCATCATCTGATTTGAGAAAACAATCAGAACTTAGACGAATGGTACTGAGGGTTGTGTGCCTGTGACAACCTGCCTCTAATTCAAATTTAAAGTTGTACCTGAAAGTACCGGAAAATAGCTTTAAGGAGATCATCAGGCTTTTACATCAGAACCTAGAAAGCCAGTCTAAGCCAGTTGTACCTGCCTGGGAGATTGTTGTGGTTAATCCTCACCTGAGGACACTTTCCCAGGGATTCTTAGAAAGGGTGGGAGAGGGGAGGGGGAGAGGGAGAGGGAGGGGGGGAGAGAGAAGGAGGGGGAGGGGAAGGGGGGACGGGGAGGGGGAGAGAGGGGGAGGGGGAGGGAGAGGGGGAAGGGGAGAGGGAGGAGGGGGAGGAAGAGGGGGAGGGAGAGAGGAAGGGGGAGAGGGACGAGGGGGAGGAAGAGGGAGAGGGAGGAGGGGGAGGAAGAGGGGGAGGGAGGAGGGGGAGGGGAGAGGGGGAGGGGAGAGGGACAGGGAGAGGCCCTGATGTGAGAGAGACACATGGATTGGTTGCCTCCTGTGCACGCTCTAGCCCCGAGCCGAACGCAGGGCCGGCCTGGGACATGACAGTAGGCCCATCAGTTCTGTCGGGGCGGCTGTCTCCCGCTGCTCCTGCTTGAACCGTGCTGTGTTTCGTTTGCTCTGGGACAGGCTTCCACCTCTACCACAAGCTGCCCACCATCGTGCCCGAGAGCTGCCTGCTCATCATGGTGGGCCTCCTGCTCGGGGGCATCATCTTCGGCGTGGACGAGAAGTCGCCCCCTGCCATGAAGACGGACGTCTTCTTCCTGTACCTCCTGCCCCCCATCGTGCTGGACGCGGGCTACTTCATGCCCACCCGCCCGTTCTTCGAGAACATCGGCACCATCTTCTGGTACGCCGTGGTGGGCACGCTCTGGAACTCCATCGGCATCGGCGTGTCCTTGTTCGGCATCTGCCAGATCGAAGCCTTCGGCCTGAGCGACATCACTTTGCTGCAGAACCTGCTCTTCGGCAGCCTGATCTCCGCTGTGGACCCCGTGGCTGTGCTCGCTGTCTTTGAGAACATCCATGTCAACGAGCAGCTCTACATCCTGGTCTTCGGGGAGTCCCTGCTGAACGACGCGGTGACAGTGGTGAGTCCCGCGCTGCGCGGCACCCATGCTGCCCGGCCTCCCAGCCTGAGATTCTCCCTGAGGATTTCTTTCCAGCCGAGTTCCTGTCCGCATGTGCCCTGGGCATGCCAGCGTGTGGCAGGCCGCCCCTCTCAGCGTGGTCACCAGGGCAGCCGCATGGGGGTCTGGGCCAGGGGCAGCCAGTGCCCATGGAGTGCCCTCCCCCCTCCCCCAGGTCCTCTAGTCTCACGTAGGCAAAGCTCAGCACACAGCTCACTTCTGCTTCACACTCAGCCAGCATTGTTCTGGTACTTATTCAGAAAATGAAAATTATTTTAATTCTTATTAATTGGCACATAGAGGCAGAGACAGCTAGGGTCCTGTGTCAGCAGCAGGTACCGCCACCCCCCGCTGAGTCAGGGGGAGCTGAGTTCCAGAGCCTTAAAGGGCTCTGGCTGGTGGCGGGGATGGGGGGATGGGGGGATGGGGAGATGAGGAGGATGGGAGGATGGGGAGGATGGGAGAATGGGGGAGGGGGGAGGAGGGAGGGGGGAGGGGGGCATGGAGGGCTGAGGGGGAGGGGGTGGGGGAATGGAGGGCTGAGGGGGAGGGGGGAGGGGGGAGGGGAGAGGGGGAGGGGGAGGGGGAGGGGGTGGGGTCATGGAGGGCTGAGGGGGAGGGGGGAGGGGGGAGGGGGGAAGGGGGAGGGGGGGCATGGAGGCTGAGGGGGAGGGGGGAAGGGGGAGGGGGGGTGGGGGGGCGGGGGGATGGCGAGGCAGGAGCGCCATGGCCTGAGGGTGCGCACCTGGGCTAGGGCTTAGACAGCCTGTGGAATGGTGTTCTCCCCATTTTGCAAATAATAAAGTTGAGATAAAGCGTATTAAGTAACGAGTATTTAAGTAGTTTAAGTAACTTATATAATCCCCCATTGGTTCCTGATTAAAATGCTACCGCTGAATCGCTCCCACGTTCGCACCAATGAACAGGAGAGCCAGCCTCACCCTCTGTCACCTGCACGCGGACCCTGACCCGGACACAATGTCATCCTGAAGGACGTCCATTAGCTCCATGTGTATTACTTTTTAGAAAATAAGTTTGGTAAGGAAACTTGGAAAAGCTGCCGGGAGCTTTAGGCGGCACGTGCCTCCGCGGCACAGCCCGCCTCCGTTACCTGCCGCTCCGCAGGCAGCCCAGCGCCCCGGGGGCCTTGGGGAAGGGCATCGCAGTCAGGCTGTCACTCTCCTCACCTCTGAGCACCGGCCTTTGGTCAGCGCCTCCTGTCCGGCTGCGGGAGACGGACAGTTGGGTGTGGGTTCCCGCACAGAGACGCACCCCACTCTCCGCTTACTTCCTGGGCAGGTGGTGCCTCGGGCCGGGCCAGCAGCGTGAGCCTCGGCCGGGCTCTCAGACCCCCAGTCAGGTGCTCCCTGGTCCTCCTGGGGTCCTCAGGAAGCAGGGCTCAGGGTGCGAAGGCCGCCCTCCAGAGGCAGGCCCGGGCTCCCTCTCAGGGCAGAGCCCTCCGGCGGACGAGCTGCCCGGACCACAGGGAGCAGGGCCATTGCGGGGGCCAGGCAGCCCCAAGGCCAAGGCCCTAAGTCAGGCTGACCCTCATGGCTTCACATGAAGGCCTTCCTCGGTGGGTCATGTGCCCGAGGCTGGAAGCCTGCCCGTGCGGGGCCTGCCCATCGCTGAAGAACAGCTTTCACTGAGCCGCTGAACAGCAGAGTGAGTTAGAAACACACTATAAGAATTGTGATTCTGTCTCTTAGTCAGGTGCCTTCGCAGTATAAAGGTGGACATGTTTTCTGGGAGGTTTTCTGACTCAGTCATCTAGTGCAAGAACCTCATGGAATAGACAGAGATATAAAATATGGCCAGGCCGTCGCCACTGTGGCTCAGTGGGTTGGGCATCGTCCCGTCCACCGAAAGGTTGCTGGTTGATTCGAGGTCAGGGCGCATGCCTGGGCTTCAGGCTCACCCTGGTGGGGATATGCAGAAGGCAGCCAATCAATGTTTCACTGTTACATGGATGTTCCTATCTCTCTCCCTCTCTCTTCTTCTTTCTAAATCAATTTTTTTAAATAAATAAATAAGAGTTAAATAAAAAGTTCTCCCTCGCATTGGAGATAATTTTTAAAAACATATGGACCATGCCACATGCAGGGGAAAGGATAAGTCGTTCTGAGTTGCAACTAGAAGGGTGGAGGCTAACAGGAGAATTAATGTTAAAAGTGCAGTCTGGAGAGTGAGTGAGATGGCAGGCCCCCAGGTCATGGTGAGTTAGATGTGAGCTGGCAGAGCTGAAGGTTAGAAAACCTACCCAAGATGTCTCCAAGCAAAGAAGAACGCTAACATATGGCTGCAGTCAAGCTGTGTGCTATTGCCCAGGGCAGGGTGGGGGCATCCGGCCTGCGGGTCAGGCCTGCAGCATCGTTTGGCCTGGCCCTGCCAAGGCATTAGGAGAGAGTTAATTAATGTTTGACAGACAGAGCGGCTCATTTCTAAGCTGATAGTTTGGTGCGGCCTGTGAGTGATGTTACAAATATCCCATGGCCCTTGGCAGGAAAAAGTTCCCGCCCCTGGTCTGGGGTGCAGTGGATTGGATAGTAGGTTGGAATTATCCGGAGAAATGCCAGTCAAAAAAATAAAGGTGAGCTTTTTGATAGAGTTTTAGTGCTTTTCCATATAATTAATATTTTAGAAAAGCATTTAAAATTTCTTTTATTAGCCTCACCAAAGATTGCTTAGGCTCCTGGTTATTTGAGAAGTCTTGCTATTTCCACAGTAGTTCGTAATCCAATGGCCTAGCTTAATACATGTAATTTCCAACATCATGTCTCGACCATGTCAATGCAACCTAACGTTCTAACACATTTCCCAAGAAGACTTAACCTTGTTCTGCCTCTGCCACACCAGCCTGGCGGGAGAGCTGGCGGGAGGCTGGCGGGCTGCTGGCTGCTGTGCGGGGCAGTGGGTGTCATCATGGAAGCGGGAGGGGAGTGGTGACCGCCTGACACCTCCCTTTGCTTTTGCAAATAGCAGAATAGACTTACAATTCCTCACCCAAGAATGATTCCTTTGTGCTTCACGTCAGAAAAGGTGGCCTGGAAGCTGTTTTCTGGGACAGATGTGTCTGAAAGAGGACTCTGAGTCGTGTGCATCTTCACTTCATGGTTCCCCTGCATTATTGAACATTTTAAATCTGCAGTGGAAATAGATAACCTGTGATGTGAGTAATGTGAGTGTTTTAGGAACATAACTGTGAGAGAAAGACTGGGAAGCACACAGCTGTCAAATTAGCCCATTACGAACCTGGCAAGTCAGGCTTAAAATACCCTGGCCTGGAGGTCACCTCTGCACTGACACCGCGCCCGCGGGCAGAGGGCACACGCTCCACAGACAGAACCGACTCCGGAAGCACTTGCTTCCCTGCGGTGCGGTTACGGGATTCCACTGGAATGAAGTCCAGGGTTGTGGTCAGCTGTAACTGGAAGAATTTTATCTTGTTCTGATCGGTAGGTATCAAGTTCAGTGTAAAGCAGGTGGGAGGTTGTGGAAAGCTTTCTGGTTGTCAAGGTAACGCTGCTACCTAAGATGTTCCCTGCAGCACTGCCCGGGCAGCTGTGGGGGCGGAGTGAGAGCCGGTGCCCAGCCGGCACTGGGCACAGCCGGGAACATGAGAGGCAGGACGTGGCGCGGGCAGCCCCAGGAGGGAGCTGGCAGGAAAAGCGCTCCAGGACAGCGTGGCAGTGTGCCGGCTGCTCCTGAGGAAGGGGTGCTGGGCCTCTCCTGGCCTCGGGGCGGGGGCACGGGGCGGGCGGGGGCAGGAGAGGGGAGAAGGGCGGAGGGCTCTGCGCGGGGGCGGGAGTTCTGTTGGAGAGCTGAGCACCTCAGAGGCAGCACCCACAGCACCCGCGGCCCCCGCAGACCCTGGGTGCTGGGGGTCAGCACTGCAGGAGGCGGAGGGGTGGTGGGCAGTGGGGGGCCAGGCTGCCCAGGGGAAGAGCAGCTCCAGAGGGGCCCGGCCAGGCAGGTGCGCTTTTCCTAGATTTAGCAGCTGCGTTTCTCACTCTTCGTTTCAAAAACACACAGGAGGGAAACCCAAGATGAATAAGCAGGGTGTGTGCAGCCTTGGCCAGTGTGGCTCAGTGGTCAGAGAGCCAGACCATGCCTTAAAGGGTCACAGCGTCAGCTCCCATCAAGAACTCGTACCTGGTTGCAGGTGGCTCCCTGCCCCCGGTGTTTCTCCCCACCCCACCCCACCCCACCCCCTCTTAAAAGCAACAGGAAAGGTGAGGGTTACACAGTGAGCGAGGGGGGAGCTCTGTGCAGCGGCAATGGCACCCCTCCCGGAGAGAAGAGCGCCAGGCGTAGGAGCCCCCCACGCCGGCGGCCCTGAGAGTGAAGGACGGATGAGTGAGTCTCGGGTGTGGAGGGATCGGCGTGAGGCGAGCTGTGGCTGCTGGTGCAGTGGAGGCAGGTGGCCGTCCGTCTCCTCGGGCAGTGAGTGACCGTCACCTTGGCCTTGGCCGCGGGGAAAGGTATAAATAGCGCCTCTCTGAGCCGCTCAGGAAGCAGGAGGCTTGTTGCTGCTGCGAAACCCGCGGTGAGAGGCCTGGGTGTGATGGGAGCAGCTGCGGCCGGGGCGTTCTGCTTGGCCAATGAGACCGCGGGCTGCCCGCGTCATCGGGGCCCGTCCGTCTTGTTCCAGGCGCTTCCAGGCCCGCTCTGCCCATGCTCCTGAGTGTTACACCCACATCCGGGGAGGAGCCCTGCTCGCTGAGGGGTGAGCCAGCTGTCCCAAGGCCGCGAGCATTTCCCTGTGTGCGGGGCGGCCTGGGGAAGTAACCCGCTCCCGGCACCCCGCCTGGGGTTAGGCGGGAGGAGAGGGGAAAGATCCCAGCACACCCGCCTCGTGTGGCTCTGAGGACCTCGGTGGGGGAGAGGCCGGGGGCTTCTCCCTGGGACACACGCGGTCCACCCCAGGGGACCTTGGAAGACTTGCCGGAGGCTCGGGCCTGGGCTGTGGGGTGGCCGCTGCAGGGGTGTGGCTGTGGGTGGATTGTGAGTTCCTCACACCCCGAGTGAGAGCTGGCATGGCCTCTGCTCTAACAGGCTGTGTGCCCAACGCCCTGCCAGCCGCTTTTCCGGAGACGCTGCCTTCCGTCCCAGTCAGAGGGGGCAGGGCACCTGCTTCCCTTGCGTTTTCCTTGCGGGTTCTGGGGGGAAGGGGGGTCAGCCGCTCCTGGCTTCAGCGGCTCAGGGGCCCCCGGCCATGTGTTTGAAGGATGGAGCCAGCGAACAGGAAGTGCCTGGCAGTTTTGAAGAGTATTAAACTAGCACTACATAAAGTCTGTAGAGTTTCAGAAACCAAGCAACAGTGTACTCTTGTCACCTTAGAGCAGTATTTCCCAACCTTCTCTCATGATGAGAATCACCTGGTGGAGTTGTTAAAACACAGATTCCTGAATCCCAACTAAGAAGTGCTAAACTAGAATTTTTGGGAACATATAGGTAAAATTGTATACTTAACTAGTGCTCTAAGACAGATTTTATATACAGAGCACTAAGTTAGGTATGCAATTTTACCTATATGTTCTCAAAAATTCTAGTTTAGCACTTCTTAGTTGGGATTCAGGAATCTGTGTTTTAACAACTCCACCAGGTGATTCTCATCATGAGAGAAGGTTGGGAAACACTGCCTTAGAGGCACAAAATATGTGTGAAGTTTTAGCACACACTCACACATATGTACCCACGCATACAGTCATACTGTCACATATGCACACATGCACAGTCACACATATGCGCCCACGTATACACAGTCGTGCTGTCACACATGCACACTGACACATATACACCCAGGCATACACACTCATACTCACACGTGCACACACGCACACTCACACATATACACACACATGCATACTCATACACTCACATGTGCACACACACTCCCACAACACAGGCTGCTGCCTCATGAGAAGACTCCTTTGGGTCTCACGCTGCACCGAGCATGCGTCTGTGTTGTGGGGGGTGGCGCTAGGCAGAGGGCCGCAGCCGCTGGGCGAAGGGTGCCCTCAGGTAGGGCACCAGCACAAGAGGACGGGTCCTTCCAGGGCGTTCCCCCCGACCAGCGAGTTCCCCCCGACCAGGGCCTTACCCTGACCAGGGCCTTACCCCGACCAGGGCCTTACCCCAAACAAGGGCCTTACCCCCACCAGGGCCTTACCCCGACCAGGGCCTTACCCCGACCAGGGCCTTCCCCCGACCAGGGCCTTACCCCCACCAGGGCCTTACCCCCACCAGGGCCTTACCCCGACCAGGGCCTTCCCCCCACCAGGGCCTTACCCCAACCAGGGCGTTCCCCCGACCAGGGCCTTACCCCCACCAGGGCCTTACCCCCACCAGGGCCTTACCCCCACCAGGGCCTTACCCCGACCAGGGCCTTACCCCGACCAGGGCCTTACCCCCACCAGGGCGTTCCCCCCAAACAAGGGTGTTGCCCTGACCAGGGCGTTCCCCCAAACAAGGGTGTTGCCCTGACCAGGGCGTTCCCCCAAACAAGGGCCTTACCCCCACCAGGGCCTTACCCCGACCAGGGCCTTACCCCGACCAGGGCCTTACCCCCACCAGGGCGTTCCCCCAAACAAGGGTGTTGCCCTGACCAGGGCGTTCCCCCAAACAAGGGTGTTGCCCTGACCAGGGCGTTCCCCCAAACAAGGGCCTTACCCCCACCAGGGCGTTCCCCCCAAACAAGGGCCTTACCCCGACCAGGGCGTTCCCCCAAACAAGGGCCTTACCCCGACCAGGGCCTTCCCCCCACCAGGGCCTTACCCCGACCAGGGCCTTACCCCGACCAGGGCCTTACCCCGACCAGGGCCTTACCCCGACCAGGGCCTTACCCCCACCAGGGCCTTACCCCGACCAGGGCGTTCCCCCCAAACAAGGGTGTTACCCTGACCAGGGCGTTCCCCCAAACAAGGGCCTTACCCCGACCAGGGCGTTCCCCCTACCGGGCTAGGGGGTGACAGTTCACGCCACACTCTCAGCCTCAGGAGGACAGGCAGGTGTGCCAGACGGCAACCAGGCTTTCAAGAAGCTCCACGTGGTGTCTAAGCTTTGACGTTTTTGGAGTCAGGTGTGCAATAATTTTGAATTCTCTTCTCACTTACTTTTAGAAAACGTTTTCCTGCCAACATGCAATTAACAAAGCCTTTAGTTTAAAGCTACTGAACGTGATTTAATAAGCAAATGCGCAGGAACTGCCAGTCACCTCCTGGTGCCAGGAGGCAGGTCCTCCAAGAGGCAGGCCTGTGTGGTGGGGGGGTGAAGGGGGGTAACGGGGGGGGGGTGACGGGGTGGTGATGGGGGTGTGATGGGGGGGCGGCTGGAGGAGCTGACAGGTGCTCCCTCCCCACAGGTCCTGTACAACCTGTTCAAGTCCTTCTGCCAGATGAAGACCATTGAGACCGTGGACGTGTTTGCCGGCATTGCCAACTTCTTCGTCGTGGGCATCGGCGGCATGCTGATTGGCGTGCTCCTGGGCTTCATAGCGGCGTTCACCACTCGGTTCACACATAACATACGGGTGATCGAGCCACTCTTTGTCTTCCTGTACAGCTATCTGTCCTACATCACCGCCGAGATGTTCCACCTCTCAGGCATCATGGCGTAAGTATCTGGTTCCTCGTTAAAAGCTCAGACTCATGTATTCCAAGCTAAACATGTCCAAGTTATATTCTTCTAAGAACAATTAAAAATGGGGTTTTTTTACTCTCTGTTTCAAAGAAATGAGAATACACAGCGGCCAGCTTCCTACTGCAGCCCCTGGCGCTGGAACGGGAAGCTGCTTAACAGCCTGTCGGGTCTCTGTGAGACGTGGCGATCAGCTGCTGGGCTGGCTGCCGGGGCCACTAGTTTCCGAGTTTGGTGCCCGTTCTGTGGCGTCCATGTGGCTGTGCACGGCCCCCGGTGCCATCGCCCAGCACGCTGGTTCTGGCTTGCTCATGGGAACCCAGCAGCAATGTCAGCAGCAGAAAACCTTCCTCTGTGGGAGGTGTTATCTTAGCGAACCGCTGAATTTCGCTCCCAGCAGCAGGCGATGGGCAAGCACATACGCATGTACTTTTGGTTTATATTTTAATTTTTTATATATATATATTTTATTGATTTTGTACAGAGAGGAAGCGAGAGAGATAGAGAGTTAGAAACATCGATGAGAGAGAGTCATTGGTCAGCTGCCTCTTGCACACCCCCTACTGGGCATATGCCCGCAACCAAGGTACATGCCCTTGACCAGAATCGAACCCGGGACCCTTCAGTCCCCAAGCCGACGCTCTATCCATTGAGCCAAACCGGTTTCGGCTTGGTTTATATTTTAAATAAAGACACTTGGTCATAGGCAGGGAAGGCATAAAGCGGGACTTATTTCTTCATTGAAGGTTCGGGGGGGGGGGGGCGCCTCGGGCACCAGCTGACTGGAAGGGTCCTCGCACGTAGGCTGAAGGATGGCAGGGCTCGGACCCGGAGCCTTTGGAGGGAGGCTCCTCGCTGGGGGGATGTTCCTGAGGCTCCAAACCCAGCCCCTCGGGTTGCCGCTCGCTCGCAGACAGTCAGGGCGCCGCAGGGGCGGGCCGCCGTGCCCGCTGGGTGCATAGGGGTGCGGTGGCTGCGCGCTGGCCTGCAGGCCGAGCTGCCGTGCGCGTTCAGGTGCCGCCGTGGCACAGGTGTGCGTCTCGCCGTCTGACCGCTGCTGCTTCCACTGAGGCTGTTTGTTCTGCCGCCTCCACGCCTGTTGGTCAGAGCAGGTGCGTGTGCGGTGCAGGGAGACGGGCCACTGTGGTGAGCCCACGAGGTGAACGCTGGGCGGCTTTCCGCTCCCCGAGAACCTAAGGAGCGCACTCCATCGGTGTGACCGGGCCAGGCCACGCGCGTCTGCCTCCGCCTCGGTCCGCCGGCAGTGTCATTGGAAGTGCCTGCCGGCCAGGTGCAAGGTCTCTGGAGTGACCGTGTGGCTCTGGGCCTGGCTTCCCAGAGCAGTCTGGTGCCTTGACGGTATGTTCGCGCATGCACACGTAAACATCCTGGAACCCCAGTTATCGAGGTGCGTCTGTCTGCCCGGGTTCCAGGGCAGGGGGTGGGGTGGGATGGCCAGCAAGTGGGGCAGGGAGTGCTGGGGGTTGGGGTCCCGGGGCCTCCCTGCTTGGAAATGCCTGCGGCCAGGTCCACAGAGGCCAGAGGCGAGCTGCAAACCCTGACCTGCAGAGGAGCTGGCTCCGGGGCTCCGGATTCTGGGGCTGGGACAGGGCCAGGACAAGCAGGGTGCACTGTGGGCAGCTCAAAAACATCACTGTTTCCCACTTCCAAGTAGCCCCTCAGCTCCTAGCCAGGTGCGCAGAGGCATTGCTACAAGCCAGCAAGGACGGCCCTCGCACGCTGAACCATAAGCTCTTCCAAGGCGCGGCTCCGGCTCCAGCTCCACGCACACCCACCGCAGCGCTCCGAGAGGCCACGCCTGTTTCTGATGCGGGTGCTTTGTGTCCCTTCCCAGCTCCGCACATGCGAGGCTTCTGGGTAGCCCAGCACAGCCGCGCCTGCCCCGGATAGGGCGCTGGGTGTCCACCCTCCTGCGGCTCCCGGGGTGCGGACCAGAGCCCAGGGCAGTGATGAGATTGGAGCTGCATGTCCCCTTGCACCGCCCCCAGAACCAGTGACTTCTCCGTGTTGGAATTGCCTGGGTCAGAAGTCCCTGCCCTACTTAGTGCTAATTGCACTTTCTTCTGCAACTTCAAACACATGTGCAGGTGTGGGGTGAAGGCATATACGAGCTGTGCAGCACACTCAGCAATGCCCTTTCCCACTGAGGAGAAACGGGCAGCTGCAGGGAAGCTGCTCACACCGAGAGGCAGGCCAGCAACCTCTCTGGCCAGTGGCTCCTGGACTGAGAAACGCGTCCTGCCCTCCTCCCTCACTCCCCCCCAGCCCTCCCCCTCCTCCTCCTCCCTCACTCCTTCCCCCCAGCCCTCCCCCTCCTCCTCCTCCCTCACTCCTTCCCCCCAGCCCTCCCCCTCCTCCTCCTCCCTCACACCTTCCCCCTAGCCCTCCCCCTCCTCCTCCCTCACACCTTCCCCCCAGCCCTCCTCCTCCTCCTCCTCCCTCACTCCTTCCCCCCAGCCCTCCCCCTCCTCCTCCTCCCTCACACCTTCCCCCTAGCCCTCCCCCTCCTCCTCCCTCACACCTTCCCCCCAGCCCTCCTCCTCCTCCTCCTCCCTCACTCCTTCCCCCCAGCCCTCCCCCTCCCCCTCCTCCCTCACTCCTTCCCCCAGCCCTCCTCCTCCTCTTCCTCCCTCACACCTTCCCCTCAGCCCTTCCCCTCCTCCTCTCCTCCCTCACACCTTCCCCCTAGCCCTCCCCCTCCTCCTCCCTCCTTCCCCCCAGCCCTCCTCCTCCTCCTCCTCCCTCACACCTTCCCCCAGCCCTCCCTCTCCTCTTCCTCACTCCTTCCCCCCAGCCCTCCCCCTCCTCCTCCTCCCTCACACCTTCCCCCCAGCCCTCCCCCTCCCCCTCCTCCCTCCCTCCTTCCCCCCAGCCCTCCTCCTCCTCCTCCTCCCTCACACCTTCCCCCTAGCCCTCCCCCTCCTCCTCCCTCCTTCCCCCCAGCCCTCCTCCTCCTCCTCCTCCCTCACACCTTCCCCCCAGCCCTCCCTCTTCTCTTCCTCCCTCACTCCTTCCCCCCAGCCCTCCTCCTCCCCTTCCTCCCTCACACCTTCCCCCCAGCCCTCCCTCTCCCCTTCCTCCCTCACTCCTTCCCCCCAGCCCTCCTCCTCCTCCTCCTCCTCCCTCACACCTTCCCCCCAGCCCTCCCCCTCCTCCTCCTCCCTCACACCTTCCCCCCAGCCCTTCCTCTCCTCCTCCCTCAGTCCTTCCCCCAGCCCTCCCCCTCCTCCTCCGCCGCCTGCAGTCCCGGCCCCTCTGGTCCAGCTGTGACTCGGTGGACAGGGTGGCCTGTGCCAGAATGAGGGCACGTGCCCAATGGGCATGAGGCCGGAGTCTGATGGGAAGGAAGCTCCTCCAGGCCCAGAGGGCGGGGGCTGGTGCGAAGCAGGCAGTCTTCGGTAAGCACGGGGCGGGCTCGGCACAATTTCCCTGGGCGATGTCGGCTGCAGGGACCTCGGGCCTCACAAAGCCTCTTGTAGCAGTTGATCTCTTTGTTATGAACTTGTGGTTTGATATAATTTCAGTGACAGAGTGACGTAAGTTGGACAGGTGGAATTACAGCCGTCTCTCCCGCCATCTTACGTTACTTGGAGAGCTAGCTTGTGGGCTGTCTCAGGTTTGTCTCCCTGTGTGGCCTCTCCTAGTAAATTAAAACCTAATGTGATGCTCAGGAATTATTTACACTTACGGCTCCCTGTGTGTCCAGGAGGTTTGGCTGCAAACACTAAGAGGGTAGATGAAACCCCATTTTCTACTGCACTCCTGCTCCTGACTAAGTTTTGTGCAGAGAAAGTGTTTGTAATGTGCACATGTCTGTGCACGTGTGTGAGAGAGTGTGCACATGTGCGCGTAAGTGTGGTATGCACGTGTGTAGTGCACTCATGTGTGTGCATGTGTGAATGTGTGTTGATCTGTGCACATTATGTGAGAATGTGCACCTGTGTGCACATTGTGTGAGAATGTGCACCTGTGTGTGCATTGTGTGAGAGTGCACGTGTTCACATGTTTATGTATGTGCACATTGTGTGTGTATGAGTGTGTACATGTGTGTTTGTGTTGTGTGTGCAGGTGTGCACATGTGTGTGCGGGTGTGCACGTGTGTGTGACTATGCACACGTGTGTGCACGCCGTGTGGGTGTGGGTGTGGGTGTGGGTGTGGGTGTGCTTCATGACACTGGAGCTAAGTTAAGGGCAGTTTCATAGTCCCTGAACAAGGAGCTTCCCATCTCACTGGCATCGCCCCGAGTGTCACAGCACTATAGCCGGGGTCGTAGGACAAGCTAAGTAGTTACTGATTTTAGAAATTCATGTCTAGTCTCATGTTTGGCTCTTCTGGGAGGCATGCTCAGAAGTATTGTAGCACACAGCTGATTGCCCAAGTCCTCTCCCTCCCCTGGACACCGACAGAGGCCTGCAGTCAGGCTGGGCAGTGAGCTCAGTGGCTCTCTCCCCTGTGACACCCCGCCTCTCGGGTCCCTGCCCTCACTCACCCAGTCTCCGGTGCCCAGTCAGTGGGCACTGAGCACACTGCCCTGAAGCAGGCGCTGTGGTCCGCAGCCCATGGGATGGTGGTTTCTCGTTGATGTGCTCCAGGAAGTTCAGAAATGGCTAAGCCCTTCTTCAGGTAGGAGAGCAGGCATCCATATTTCTTAGTTTCATTTTCATGGGTTAATAATTTCTTAACCTTTCCTCCCCCAAGGATGCTTAGAATGTGTTCTGTTTGGTGTTTCAATTATTCTGGAAGCATTATTGCAAAGAAGAAGTGGTAATTGTTAGTCTCGTGTTGTGAATGACTGAATCGAGGCCCAGTGGACTGAAATCAGGACCGTGTGTGAGACTTGGGCCTGGCTGGCAGTCATCTGGCCAGTCCGGGACACGGCCCAGTCTCCCCTTTATCACCCAAACAAGCAGTTTAATAACTCTTACAAAGAGGATGCCCGGCCGCATGGAAGATG